TAATAAAATTATTTCAAATTTAAAATTTAATGTAAGAACTAGATGCCATGCCCGCGTGATGTCGCGGGCTTGTGACATGCTTGTGTGTTGTTATGGGTTTATAGAAAAAAAATATATTGAGAAAAATTATTGTAATCCACAATGTTTTCAAGAGAAAAACTACAAAGTAAAATTCTTAAACGACTTAATATTTAAAAAATAAAATAAATAAATAAAATTTTGAAAAAATAACAAAAAAAAAATCATGATGAGAAACACTGTAGCAATCCAAAGTATTTTAAAGAAAAAAATTATAAAGCTAAATTCTCAACCAACTCAATATAAAAAAATAAAATCAACAAAAACAAAAGAAAAAAACTATGCAGAGAAACACTGTAGCAATCTATAGTGTTTTATAAAGAAATTTATATTTGTAATTCTCAATTAACTCAATATTAAAAATAATAAAATTAAAAAAAATAAATTAAAAAAAACATGTGGAGGAACACCATATCAATCCACAATGTTTTAAAGAAAAAAACTATGAAGCTAAATTCTTAAGCAACTTCATATAAAAAAATAAAATTGACAAAAATAATTTTAAAAAAATCATAAAAAAGACCATGTGGGGAAACAATATAGCAATCCACAATGTTTTGAAGAAAAAAACTACAAAACTAAATTCTCAACCAACTCCATATTAAAAAAAATAAAATCAACAAAAAAAATTCTAAAAAAAACACAAAAATATGAAAGAAGAAGAAAAAGAAGAAGAAGACAATTTTGGAAAAAAAAAAGCAAAAAAAATGAAAAAAAAACTAAAGAAAAAAGCTAAAGCTGAATTCTCAACTAATTTAATGTTAAAAAATAACTTGTTAAATATAACTTTTTTTTAAAAAATATGGGGAAACATTATAGCAAAACAAAAATCATATAGGGAAACTTTGTAACAATTCTCAGTATTTTGTTTTTTAAACTATAAAGTAAAATTCTTAACCAGCTTGATATGAAAAACAAAAATCAACAAAGTCTATTTTGAAAAAAAAAGAAGAAAAAAAATCATAAAAAAGTCAAGTAAGGAAATATTGTAGTAATTCATAATGTTTTAAAGAAAAAAATTGTAGAACTAAATTTTAAATCCGTTTAATATTAAAAAAATTGATAAAAATTTTTTTGAAAAAAAATACAAAAACAAAAAAGAATTAAAGAAGAAGAAGAAGAAGAAGAAGAAGACAAAAAAAGAAAAAAAAGAAAAAAAACATTTAAAACCCAAAAAAATAGAAAAAACAAAAAAATATATGGGAAAAAAAGACAAAACACAAAAAAAATGAACAAAAAAAAATGCCAAAAAACCATGTAGCGTCAAGAAAGTTATAGTACTTTTTTCATATTTTTTGAAGTATTAATTAATATTTGATACAATTAACTAGTTCACCATTTGTCGTTTGATTTACTAAGTTTTTGTTTGAAATTAAAATAATAGTTATAGTTTGAAATGTTTTTTATTTAGAAATATATTAAAATAATATTTTTTTATTTTTTTAAAAATATTTTTAAAACTAGTATATCAAAACGATCTAAAAATATAAAAAAAATATGTTTTTTTAAAAAATAAATTTCATAATTTAAGAAAAAATGTTCCCAAACAAGCTTTAAAAATCTGAGAATATAGGTGTATTATAATCATCTAATTTACTAGAGGTCATATACATACTTGATTTGAGCAAGAAGTGTTTCATGGTGTTTTGGTGCTAAATAATTTAAAAGAAATTATTATCATAATACGCCAATAAATTAGTTCGCCAAAATTATAGAGTTCCATTAAGAAACCAATACTAATTTTGAAGCAAAATTCCCATCGGTATACTCATGAGATTCGCGCATCTTCAAGACATCAGAGATTTTTGAAGTAATGTAAATGATAATAAACTTATATAATCACAAACTCTATTAAAAAAAAAAAAATTATTTGTTAGCAGTGTTTTGAAACTTGGCAGACCCGACGGGTTGACTTAGAATTTGGCTGATCCGAGGCTAGAACCAGGCCGAGTTAATGAAAAAATAGAATAAGTCATGATTCGGTGTGACCCGGCCGATTCAGCAGGTTGACCCGACAAAACCCGGTTATAATCTGTTAACTTTTATTTTTTTACTGAAATAACACCGTTTTAAATCTTTTTAAAATAGAAATCAACTCGATCAACCCGATCAAAACTTGAAACCCGGCCTCACACAAGCCTGGTTTAAAAACTTTGTTTGTTAGATTTGATCCACGTTTACAAGCTGAGCACCTGTATTTAGGTGGTGCTGAGAAATTGTTTCAAATTGTAAAGGGCCACCATCACCGGACTAATTAATAGGTCATTTAATGCCCTTCTCGAGTTGTTGAGAAAAGTTGTTCCAATGACAAGCAAGCTTTACCTAACAGCTTTTATGATGCAAGTAATTACATCTCGGAGTCAGATCTTCGTTGACAGTGCATGAAACAACCTTATTTCATCATGTTTTTACTTGTACCAGGATCATACAATTCTGGAACACGAATACACATACTTTTTTAAGAACTCTTCTTAATGAGGTGAAAGAATTTTATCTTACATGCTACCGTCTCAACTCTCATGGACAGTAAACGATTTTCTGACATCTGGGAACTTGTCTGTGTGGTCGATAGAGAGTATATGGAACGCCCTTCATGTAATAAGGACATAATTGGGAGACTGTATATGCGTTTGTTTTGGATATACGAGATTATAATAAAATCATTCAATCCACCATAAAACAAAATAGGAATCAAGTATAAAGTTAAATATTAAAGACTGAAAATAAAAAAAAAATCAAAAAAATAATTTGAGTAAACCTATATAAGTGATTGGGGTAACGCACTGGAGGGATAATTTTTTCTAGATGTAAAAAGAAATAAGTTAAGGTGACAATAGAATTTTCTAATAAATAAAAGAAATTAGAGATTAGGATCATTGAATTGATTGGTTAATCTAATAATATAAAAAAAAACAACTTCAATTTAATAATATGAAAAACAAAGTAAATTTAAATAAAAAAAAGACAGGTTATTTATCTAGTAATGCACTATAAATGGACCTATTCATTGGATATGTGTGAAAATGAGACAAAGAAAATAGAAATTGGATTTAAAAAAAAAAACACACAGACTTCAAATTTGAAATAGTCCTTATAAGCTAAAAATAAAATAAAAAAAACATGATTATGCTGGTAATAACAATTGCAACGTGAAAAGAAATACCTATATATAGGAAGATATGGCTAACAAACCGTCCAAGAAATATAAAGAATATACGGAAATTTTTTTAATTATGAAAAATCTGGTGTACAAGATGGCTCGAGCCAAATGATTAAAAAATATGTCAAATTAGAGCAAAGGTGAGTATTTAGCATGCTTGTCTTGTTTCTCCTATATGATAAATGGATGATAAAATTATTTCATATTCAAATTTTAATGTAAGAATAAGGTAATTCAATTTTATTTTATTTTTAAGAAAAATCTAGACACCACTCCTTAGCACTTACGCACGTGAGACAAGGAGAATTGTCAACTCACATGACCACATGCTAGAGAAAAGTCATATGGTTTATCAGGTGTCCACGACTTTATACTTGACATAGTAGCTTACCATCTATCTTTAGAACTTCTATGTGGTACGATTACCGACTTCATCGTCTGTTGTTTGGTGTACGAAGAGAGTTTTTGAAAATCAATGTAAATCGAATTTTTTAAAATTTTAATTTTTTTAAATAATTTTTTTATAATTTTAAATTGTTTTGATATGTTAATATCAAAAATAATTTTTTAAAAAAAATTATTTTAATATATTTTTAAATAAAAAATACTTTAAACCGTGAAAACTGCTATAATCCTAAATACATTCTAAAATTAAAATCTAGGTCTATTATAATTGCACGATTAACTAGAGTCTTATACTTTTTTTATCTAAACCTGAAGCGTTTCATGGCATTTTAGAGCTAAATTTTCAAAGTTGTTTTCTAGGATCGGAAGTTGATTTCAAGAGCTGGTTTTTATTTGGTTTTTACAGTTAAAATATTTTTTTAAATAATTGTTTTTAAATTATTCATTTTAATGTTTTTGCATTGTTTTAATTGGTCGATATCAAAAAATTAATTTTTAAAAATTTTTAAAAATTATTTTAATATAATGATATCAAAAAATTAATTTTTTAAAATTTTGAATAATTATTTTAATATATTTTTAAATAAACAAATATTTTAAAAATAATGACTATCATAATATCCAGTTCACAAATTGAGACAAAAGAGAGAAATGAAGGGAAATCAAATTTATGCTAAAGTGAACGACATCTTCACAGAGCTATTGTACAAGTAGAAAGAAAATATCAAAATACATCAAATAACACAATGAGATAAATTTTTTCATCACTATCACTAGAGTTAATCACATGAAACGTGTAAAGATGATAAAATAGATACCTCGGTGATGAATCCCCACAAACATTATGAACTTTTTATATACATATTTTTAAATTTTATGTATCAAAAGATAATATTACTTTTTATACTAAATAATTACTGTGAAAAAATCATTATGAAATGATGAATTAACCCTTATAAATATGCTTTGAGAATTTTAATTTTAAAAGTTATATTATGCTTTCAAAAAAAAAAACCAAAAATATCTCTGGCCATAGCGAAGTAATTTCTTGCTTTAAAAGGCATTAAGTGAATCTATTATATAAAAAAAAAGTTTTAGGAAAGGACAACGATACCCCGTAAGAATTCTCCAATGATAAATAAAACATAAAAAAATAAGAATCTACCCAATAGACCAGTTCATTTTTTTTTTAAAGAGTAAATACGTGAATCCACTGTTATAATCATTATAGAGGATAGGCTGTGTTAATAACAAGCACCCCAAAAGAAAAGTCTGAAAGGAGACAAAAAGGTCACAGGGATCATTTGAATCGACAAACTAGAAAAAATAGAGGAGCACAAGGTGATTCCATTGCCGTTTGGGGGTGAACAGAGGAATCTCTCAGAGGTTTCTACCAAAGAGTCGAAGAAGTAAAACAATCCAACAAATCACCATTAATAACCCACAATAAAAGTTATGAGTTTGCAGCTCACCAGGGTACCACGACAACTCCCACTGCACCACAACCACACGTTAAAAGTCTCTCTCCATAAAGGGAAACCTTCCCCTAAAATCTCTATTTACCTTGCCTTCTCCGTATCCTTTTCAAGAAGCACCAAACCACAAACACCCCACAGGAGAAGAGGACCTAAAGAACCAATCTTTGTTTTCTCTTCTTCTTCTTCTTCTTCTTCTGTGCATCAGTGCCATAATTATTATATAAAGAAGATGACCGTGGTGATTGATAAGCACGATGTCCTTGTGGGCACTTTCTTTGCCTTTCTTTTCTTGTACATTTTGCGCCAAAATATCTGGAAAAGAGAAAATATCAGGAATAGAACAACATTGAAGATCCAAAACGATAGTGCTGTGTCTGTCTTGAGGCATGAAAAGGGAGGAGGCTTCTCCTCTGCTGATGATGTCATTGTTGTCGGTGCTGGTGTTGCTGGTGCTGCCTTGGCTTATACTCTTGGCAAGGTGCTCATAACTCTTAATTTCATGGCTTCGGTTGCTTTTTAAAAGTTGGTAATGATGGAACATGCATCTGGGATTTTTATTTTTTTCGTTTCTTCTTTACTGAACTTTTAGCATTGGCTTTTATTACGGGATTTTAGTAATTTATTATCTCATACAAAGAGGTGGAGACTGAAAAGTGTTTTAAGTTCTTGAGAATTTCACTCGCCTTACTTTTCTTTTGTGTGTGTGTATGTGTGTACGTCATCGTGTGTTCGGTGCTTTGCTTGTCTTATGGTCATGCTAACTTGTTGGGTTGGAGTAAAATTAACTTTCTGTTTTATAGTGTGATGACGCGCTCTCTGTGAAAAGCAGTTGTGGGTTAGATTAGTTTATGGAATACATGGTTACTTCTTGATGACAGTGATGGTTTTGAAAATCTTTAATTGTAATAAAAAAGTTACGCTCACATTAAAGTTGACCGGTATCAATTCTATGGATGCAGCTGAGATGGTCTCGTGGATTTGCAACTCAACTTTAATAATAAGTATAAACTTTATTGCCGAGATGGTTAAGTTTCAAACTAGTTTGATTGCTGTTTTGACATTTTCAGTTGAAGTTATTGCTCGAGTAATTTTGTTTAATAGAAATTGAAATATAACCCCACGACCATTCAATTAGACTTCGATTTGCCTTAGTTTTGTGACATTTTTCTAGACTACATATATACTGCTATCAGGACAAAGACCTTGAACTAAAAGCTCAATTCCAACACTACAGGATGGAAGACGTGTTCATGTGATAGAAAGAGACTTGAAAGAGCCTGACAGAATTGTCGGTGAACTGCTCCAACCCGGGGGATATCTAAAATTAATCGAATTAGGCCTTGAGGGTATGATTCTTAAAGTATATATAAAAACTTCAATCTCTGTTTTATCTTTGTATGGTGTGTAAAAAGAAAAGAAAATAGAGATTATTTCGGATGTTGCAAGCTATCTGCTATGCAATACAGAATTAGCTGGATTTGGATTAAAAGGTTCTAGTTTTTGAAATTTATGTTAGATGTCAGAATGTAAAGCATTCTCTCTGAATGCAGATTGTGTGGAGGAAATTGATGCCCAACGAGTGCTTGGATATGCTCTCTTCAAGGATGGGAAGAATACTAGATTGTCATACCCTTTGGAAAAATTCCACACAGATGTTTCTGGAAGAAGCTTCCATAATGGACGTTTCATTCAGAGGATGAGAGAAAAGGCTGCTACCCTGCCCAAGTATAGTTTTTTCCTCAGTCATATGAATGCTTTCCTGGTTTATCCGTTGTTTGAAGTTGTCCTTATGGATGTTCCAGATTTTCATTCATTCAATCATTCTGCAGCTCTTACATCTTACTTAACAGTTAATGACTGATTTTGTATCTTTCTTTTCACTGTCATTCAGTGTAAGAATAGAACAAGGAACAGTCACATCCCTGCTTGAAGAAGATGGGACTGTTAAGGGTGTTCAATACAAAACGAAGGATGGTCAAGAACTTAAAGCTTATGCTCCCCTTACAATTGTGTGTGATGGCTGCTTCTCAAATCTGCGCCGCTCTCTATGCAACCCTAAGGTGAAGACACCATCTCATGCATGCCAAATTTGAATCTGATCCTATTTAGTTTGAATGAAATATGTGTTGAATAATCATTAAGGATGAAGCAAATCATAGAATTTTTACTTTGAATAAAAAATTATAGCCGCTCAATCTGGCATCGGCGTTTCTTGCTTCAAACTTCTCTAGTAAGACCAACACAATCATTTTGACTCTTTTGCAGGTTGAAGTGCCCTCATGTTTCGTGGGTTTGATCCTGGAGAACTGTCAGCTTCCATTTGAAAATCATGGGCATGTCATTCTAGCAGATCCATCACCAATTTTGTTTTATCCGATTAGCAGCACAGAGGTTCGCTGTTTGGTTGATGTACCAGGTCAAAAGGTGCCTTCCATTGCTAATGGTGAAATGGCCAATTATTTAAAGAACATGGTTGCGCCACAGGTATATATTTTTTCATTTTTAACGGTCAAGGTAAGAAGTATGATACCATTTGATGTCATTGCATGATTTTGAATCATCAAATATGATTAGCAACCATATTGTATTAGCGTACTAAGAGGTATTCCCTGAATTCCCTACATTATCCTTGTTACACATTTTTGTTTGAAGAAAGCATTTTTTGCCTGTTAGCCTTTGTCTGTGTTTAACTAAGAGACTCTATTTCAGATTCCATCTGAGCTTCGCAATGCCTTCATATCTGCTATAGATAAAGGTAACATCAGGACCATGCCAAATAGAAGCATGCCAGCGGAACCACATCCTACTCCTGGAGCGCTTCTGATGGGTGATGCTTTCAACATGCGTCATCCATTAACTGGTGGTGGGATGACTGTGGCATTGTCTGATATTGTTGTCCTTCGTGATCTTCTTAAACCACTTCATGACCTTAATGATGCAGCTTCGTTGACCAAATATCTTGAATCCTTTTACACCTTGCGCAAGGTAAGCTAAATATGTCTACCATAAATATCATTATGGCCAAGAATAGTGTCCAAGTAATGTTCTTCTTAGTCATCTGAAGTTATGTCTAAGCTTTGCATCGTGAATGGAAGTAACAAAGAAAAAATGTTATGCTGTGATGACTCATTCCTTGAAATTACATGCTGTAAATAATTTGCACATTAAAGGAGCAGTTATCCTCATAATTTAAAAAGGTCTTTGTTATTTTTTTCTCAGACATGAAGTGATAGGCTTGAACATGAGAGAAGTGAAAATATGATCAGTGAAAAGTATATTTTAACCTGTAATGTTAAATGGTTGTTTCTTGCAGCCAGTTGCATCTACGATAAATACTCTAGCAGGTGCTTTGTATAAAGTGTTCTCTGCTTCCTCTGATGATGCAAGGAAGGAAATGCGCGAGGCATGTTTTGACTATTTAAGCCTTGGGGGTAATTTCTCAGCAGGACCTGTGGCATTACTGTCTGGTCTAAACCCTCGTCCACTGAGTTTGGTCCTTCATTTCTTTGCGGTTGCCATATATGGTGTTGGTCGTTTGCTACTTCCATTTCCATCGCCTAAAGGCATGTGGATTGGAGCGAGATTAATTTCGGTGTGTATTCTCTACTTTTTAGCTATTGCTGATCGTGATGTTTTTTATTAATAAAAAAAGAACAAAGGATTTGCAAGTTTAGTGATGAACTCTTGCAATCGAGATAATATAGGTGCTTTTCATGTTCCCTGAATCCATACCGAAGCTTGCAGCATGCTACTGAAATCTCACTCTGTTTTCATATTGTTTTTGGAACATAACTGAGCACAACAAAAAAATGCAGCTGCTCATCCTATTCTGGAATGTGATTTCTAATTAAATTCTTAATGGCTTTCTCCCATTTTCATGGAATTTTTTAACAGAGTGCATCAGGCATTATTTTCCCAATTATCAAAGCAGAGGGAGTGAGGCAAATGTTTTTCCCTGCCACTATTCCTGCTGTTTATAGAGCTCCTCCTGTTGATTGATACATCAGATGTGCCGAAATCAAAGACGCTTTATCACTGTCAGCAAAAGCCAGTTCGTTTCTGCAAGTTCCCTGTTCACACTATATGCAAACTAGTGTGTTGACGACAATTGATGTATCGTGAAGTTGCATGAACTTCTTGAATAAATGTCTTCCCAAGTTGAGTTCATGTGATGTCAATATGAACACCAAACTTTTATTCCTTCTATTATCAATAAAATTTCTACGGGGTTGAACCTAACCTTTGAGGGGCTGGTAGTTACAATTAAACAAATGTAAATTTAAATCGCCTATTATGATTTTAGGGATAAAAGCTAAAGATAGTTAAGGGTTTTTAGTGGAAAATATAAGAAAACTAGTGAAGGTATTTAAATTTAAAAACTTGAGGAAATTATGAAGTTTTCTTTTTATTAGACAGTGAAGTGAAGGTATCATTTAATCGAGGCCACTCCTTCCTGTGTGATCTTCGAGGTGGATGCATGCGGGCATCACCCTGAATTTTTATATGCGTTCCAATTGTGTGTTTTTTAATAATTTTTTTATTTTAAAAAATAAAAAATATATATATTATTTTAATTATGAAGTTTTAATAAAAATATTTTGAATGGATGGTCACATAACCCATGGAGTTAAAAAGGCTCATTAGTTGTTAAGGCAATTCTTTTTCTTTTAAATTTTGGTTCGAGTTCTAGTAGAAATAAGATTGAAGGGTTGTTTTTTTTGTGTTTTTGCTAGGTTTTTTCTGTATGGTATGTTTGTTACCTCTAAATATCTACATTAATAAAAAAAAAAAAGACTCAATGACCATTACATTAAGAAAAAAAAAAAGAAGACTCAATGACCCTTACATAAAGATGAGATAAAAAAAAAAAAAAACTCAATGACCCTTACATAAAGATGAGATAAAACATTAAGTAAACATGAAGTGAAAGATGTAAATAAAGGTAAACATAAAATTGATAATTGAATGCATGATTTATTAACGTGGATTTTAGCTGTTAAGCAAGTAACAAGCATTTATACTCTTTAATTTTATATTATCCTAAACAGTTGAAGAGTTTTCAAATTGCAAATTCAAAAAAATAAAAACCTAGAGCTTGCAACAATTTTATTGTGCATAAAATCATTATTCACTCTCTTATAAATAATTGTATAATTATGGACTGAAGTAGTAATTTTTTTAAAAAAATTAATTTGATTCTCAAATTTTTTCTTTGTACAATTAAATCCATTTAAATTAAAATTAGTATCCAATCACATGTTTTTTTTAGAGAGAGTTGAATTAAAAAATAATTGATTGAAGTGAAAAACACGAGTAACATAGATAATTTTTCAAATTTATTTATTAGATAATTTTTTAAATTTGTTCATGAAATATATTTTAGTTCCCCAACTTTTTTTTTGCTATAAGATGACCAATTCTTTTATTTTTTAAAAAATATATATTGATACCAAAATTCATTTCTTTATTTTTTAGTCTTTTTTTTCTATGGAAGAGAGAGAGAAGCCATAGGATTCTAGCGAATAAAAAAAAAAACTCTTTGTTAATGATGATTCCAACCACTAAACATTTTAACATTAATGTTAACGGTTCCAATATGTGAGGGGAGTCTTACATTGATTGTTTTAAGTTTTAATTTAGTCTGAAAAATTGTATATAGGTCAAAGATGAATATTTTTTTCAATTTAATTTAGTGATTTACATCTTTTTTGAATTTGATAGGCTGGTTTCTTGGTATTTAAAATTGTTTTGTGGTCGAAAAAACAAATATTTTTTTGACAAAAAAACATATTTGCATAATTTTATGTGATAATAGAAATATAGGCTAGCAAATGACACGTCGTAATAGACAATATGCTGTCTATCTATTATTTTATTTCAAAAAATTCATCCTTTTATGAAGAAATTTTTTTTAACAAGTTTAAACATGTGAGTTTGGGCTTTAAAACCTATATACCTAGATTTTTTTTATTAGTATTTTTTTTAAAAGAAATTATCAAAAAATAAAAGTGGAAGAATTTAATAATTAAAATAATTTTAGATAATTAAAAGCTTAATATTTGTTATGAATTACATTATACTTGATATAATATACTTGGTTAGTTATATGAGTAAATTTACAAATAAGTCAATTATGAATAATTGAAAGTTATTGATATGATGTTTAGATACATCTGAAATATATCTTAGATCATGAGTTATCTTCACATTCAGTTAAGTTAAGTAGCTGTATAATAAAAATTTTCTAAGTGAGTATGTATCACAAGATTTATGATAAATTTTGAGTTTATTATTTTTGATAAATTTAGAAATGAAGCTAAATAACTTTATTTTTTTTTAAATATTTATGTTATGTAAAATGTAAATATAATATCATTAAATATTTGTTATTGAATAAAATTATTAAGGTTAATTATGTAAAGTAAAAAAATAATATTGTAGATTCACTAATTAAAAATTTGATTATGGAACTTATATATAATACATTAAAATAACAAATTTAAACCTTATAAGAAAATTTTAATATCTAGTTTTAAATAAAAATCTAAGTTTTATAGTATTCTCCACGGTACTTGAGAATTGTTATTTCTCACATATTTCCATGATAAAAAATGCTAAATTCAACGTGATAAAGTGTGATCTGTATTTTTAATATATAACAGAAAGATAGCAGAAGTATTTGTTTGATAAAAAAACAATAAATAAGATCTTTCAATAGAAGAAAAATTAGTAAAAGTATTCAGACACAAAAAAATCCCATTAAGTACTAAATTTGTAGTTAATGAGGCTTTGCAGGGACCAGAATAAATCGAGCTTCATCTCTTGTCGGTTGCCCTATACAAACAAAGGTGTAGGGAAAGCGGAGCAGAGCATGAGAATGGGAATGCTAGGAGTGGCAGTACGGTTAAGGCGGTGTCTGAAGCCCCAAAATACCACTATCCTCTCTTCATACTCATATCACTCGTCGCCTTCAAACCGACAAAGAAAGAACGAAAACCAAGTGGATTCGTCTTTCAACAGAGACCCAACAAGCCCACCTCGACTCTTTGTGGTGCAGCCTCGTCTCCGCCCCGATACTCTCCTTCAAGCCAAGCTTAACGAAGCTCTATGCCTCGCCAATTCCCTCGAAGAACAGCGTGATGGGTACTTCGATTCTGATTTCTTCGATAAACCCTTGCCCCCTCACATTCTCGTTCAAAATCCCATCTTCCGTTCCTCTAAAGCTCGAGCAGGTTTTTTTTTTTTAAACTTAATCAATTCCTTTGCTTTTCTTTGATTTAATAATCTGATTCAATTTGGTATGTGCAGATACTTACTTTGGGACTGGGACTGTAGACGATATCTTGTGCCATATCAGAGCAATTGAGTCGAAGGCAAGAATTTTGTTTTTCCTTAAAAAAACCTTCTTTTTTTTGAGGAAAAAACAATGATAATGTGTGATTTTTAACAGGATGATGTTGATGCTGTGTTTGTAAATGCTATTTTAAGTGGGATTCAACTGCGGAATTTGGAGGCAGGTTCTTATTTTTATTTTTTATTTTTGGAGATGATGATTATTTTGGTATATTGATTTTGCTTTTATTTTTGTTTCATTGTTATTTCAGCGGAAATGGAATAAACCTGTGTTAGACCGGGTGTCACTTATAATAGAGATATTCAATGCACATGCCCATACAAAGGAGGCGAAACTTCAGGTTTAGTTACTGACAAGATTTATTTACACTACATTTTACTTCAGTGTCGATTTAGTCCTGTACCCATGGGTTTAGGCTAATGATTGTTTGGTTGTAATTTTTTTTTTCCAGGCAGAATTAGCGGCTCTAATGTATGCAAAGAGTAGACTTGTTCGAGTACGTGGTAGTGATGGTCGCTTGACTTTTGGAGCATTTGGAGATGCTGAAGTTGTTAGTGCCCGAGGGTGAATTTGTTGTTCTTGATTAAGAAATTTTTTTAATGCAAGTCTGATTTTTGGTTAAGCTACACTGCTCTAATACCTTGTTCATGTGTTTATCTTTCTTGAGAGCTTCATATAGTTGGAATTTTATCTTCATTAGTGGCTAGCATGTTCTGTTTCTGACAACCTTGTCCTCCAACTCAAAAACAGATAATATTGACCTTTTTTTGTCTTCTTTTTGAGATGGACAAAGCTAATTAGATTGATCTTTAAATTTTTTTCTATGGGTGCAATACGTGCCATGCAATCAAAACTCATCATGCAGCTTAATTTCTTAGGAAAAACATTGTTTTGCACCGGCACCTGCTCTGTGAAAATTGGGCTCAGGGAAGTTATCCTGTTTCAAATTCTGATTTTTGGTTGAGTTTGAATGTTGATTTGTGGTAGAGTTGCATTACCAGATTTTTCTTGAAAAATACACTGATCAACTAAACGATCCATCATAGGCACCACAACCAGACAAAAGGACTTACTGACCTGAACCAGTTATCTCCCTGCAAGTCTATGTCACTGTAAATCACATGTTCTCATAGAGGTATAACTTTTTGAGGAGGGACAGTCTTTGATGGCTTTTGTATTGTTGCACTTTTATTCTTATTATTGTTTTGGTGGCCACAGTACCTGTATGCTTTCATCCTTTAAACCCTGGATATTTGGCTCCTAATATGGTTCAAGAGATTTGCTTGAATTTTGTTTTGGCATTTATCACCTGCTTAGCTTGAATGATATTTGGTTTAGGAATGTATGATTGCTATTGGCACAAACAACTACCCCTATACCTGCCCCCCCTCCTCAATATACGCTTGAGTGAGTGTGCTTGCACATGCTTGTTCGCATATATGAGTTATCATTTGCTAGGAAAAGTGTTGATTTGCATGGAAATTGTTTACAGGAGAGGAAGTGGAGGACGTGGCTTTACCAGTGGTGCTGGAGAAACTGAGCTTCAGCTTCAGCGGCGAAGGTTTGCTCCTTGAGTCTATTTTTGTTTTACATTAACACGTTTTTTTTAGAGGAATGACCTGCATTATATGTCGGTGGTACTCAAATGATAAAAATCTAGTCAGTACTTACATGAAGTATAATAACCATATATTTTAGAGGGAGTTCCAGATGTCCAGGCTACTTCTGTTTGCAACTTTCTGGTATCATGCATGTCATGTTGCCAAATACTATACATGGGCTGTCTTGTGTGAAATATGCTACATGAAGACATCTTTTGGTATATTTTTGTAGTACTTAATATTGAAGAAAAAAAAGAGTATAATAAATGCAAATCTGAATTT